GGTTCCAAGCCGACGACGCCCACTGGACCGTCTCCATCGGCTCCAGTTAGTCCAGCGCCATCGCGACGTATTCATTCGTCCAGCGTTTCTCTGAACACGTCAAAATATTCCAAATAATTCCGATAGTAGATTCTTTGTACGATTTTCTTATAGATTCATCCATCATGATTTTTCTCTTCAGACATTATTTCAAACGTAATAGTAATTGGCAAACGAGTCACAGTATAACTGAAACTTTATATTTATACGATCATTTTTATTCTTCTATAAGTTATCCTTATATTTATGATGTATATTCTTATATTCATCATATGACGATACGTTGAAGACCTCTTGCCTAACGATCGATTCGTTTCGATAGAACTGTATTGTATAATTTAAGAAGTCAAGAACGATGCTCAACACTGTATATATCTATTCAGGGTAACGTTGGAAAAATCTTGTAGTTTAGTTTATAGCGATAATCTTTAGAAATAGTCCATCGTAGGTGCTGTCAGACATTTTGACGAATCTTTCATAAATTCTCTGTAAATTTTATACGACTATAATTGTAGCACATTGTCTGAGGATACAATTTTTCTCTTAGGCGGGGTGCGGAAGTACAAAATGTTTAATATCCATGACGATACAATCCACAGCAAAGAATCGGTCGATTTTTTGTGTTTCTTTTTGAGTCTGTGGCATTGAACATTCCAAAAGAAAATGATCGTCAATCCGAATTTCTTACGGTAGAAATTTATACAATATTTCCCAAATTTCAGGCCTAATCTCAAATTAGGGATCAAATCATCAATATCGTGTGTATATATATATATATTGTATATGTATAATATACACACGATATATTATATATACAAGTACACCGATATGCGTAGAGAAACATTACGTAGCGATATATGTAATGAATGTATATGTTATAACAGTGTGAGATTTTTACGATTCAATGATTTACAGCGTTTTCACGCGCGAGCGACATCAAACGTACTTATCACTGTTTTACGTTAAGATAGAGAGATATTAGATAATGAAAATTATATAAAAAACAGTATATCTAGTTGTGAAACGCGCGATCGTCGAAAGATTTACGAATGCAAAAATTATATGTTTTTGGACTTAATTGTTAACGATTTTCATATCGAGAATTATACGCGATCATATCGAGTTGTTAATATACGTTTATTTAACGAATCGTCAACACGAGCATTAAAAATCGCGTTCCATTTACGTAAAGGAAAAATAAATACGTTGAGCGTTTTTCTTATAAGGTTGTGAATAGATAGAATTGTAATTAAATTATTTAAGTTCTAGGAAAGTCAGAGATCCAATAGTTTAATGTTAAGTGTTTCTCCGTTTTCGAGAGTAATTCTATGACGATTGTTGGCGTGAGACGTAATTGTCTGTATATCGAACGTGTAAGCAATGTATGAAACACATTGATACCGTAGAAATCTAGAAAGTAGAAAAGTACTCCTTATTGTTTGTGCCTTTACATTTAATATATAATACTATTAATAATATACTGAAATATGATTCTCCAAATGTCCCTTGTCCATAATCAATTTAATATTTTATAAGGAAAAAAATTTTTTTTTTAACAGAATAGAAATCTTAAAAGCGTATATTTATAAAATTAATAAAGACGATATATATCAAGATAAATCTTCCATCGAGAGATTATCAATTCTGAACTTCATGATCAATTATGAAATAAGTGTAGAGTATTGACGTTATCAATTGTCGATATAAAAATATTTCTTTGCCAACATATCTGAACAATTGATTTATAATTATAAGCTACGAAACGTCAGGATAATAATAAATCATAAAATTAATATTATAATATGAGCTAATCGTCAAAGTTTTAACAGCCACGTGAATTTCTATAAGGTGGTCGGTTTTTAATAATACTTGTCGATGACGTAGCTTTAATTTGCTCATCGTTCGTATCACTCGTAGCAGAGAAGTCATATTCACTATTACACGTCACTACAATCGTGACGTTGACATATATTTTCTATTTTCCGGCTATCTGTAGTTTCTATATAACTGGTATAAATTGCAAACTTTATATTAAAAAGCGTTGGACAGATTTTTTTGGATAAATTATACGAATGTCTTGTCTGTTTGAGGTTATACACTTATACATGAATATTTTCAGTTCGAGTGTCGTCGTTTAATACAGTTTGCTCGAGCGACATTTTTCCTGAAACAATTATTATTGCTGTTTAACTGGGTAAGTCTATTTTATCATAAGTATTATATTTATATAAGCATAAATAATTAAGTTGACCACAATGTATTTTTTCAGATATAAAGACAGTTTGAAATATTTTTCAAGTTTCTAAAGGTGTTTCGTAGGATAATAATTTTCTTCCGCATCTGTTTATCAACTAAGCTATCAAGATTACTAACAAAATGCGACGTTCTCATTCAGGTAAGTTGACATCTGTTAGCAAATGCGTTAATCGATTGTTATTTTATATAATGTACTTTTTTAAATGTACTATTACAATATAATATCTTACATATAATATAATTTCCTTATTTCCAGGGGGTTACGGCTATGAGCCATTACCAAGTACATCTACTCAAAATGTTATGGAAGACGAGAACGAAAGAATGACTGAAGAATTGCGGGATAAAATACATGCTTTGAAATCATTATCCATTGACATTGGCACCGAAGTAAAATATCAAGATAAAGTGCTCAGAGGCATGGTTAGTTGGTCAGCTTGTCTAAGATACGTTTACGCAATTTTTCATGTCACCTTAAACATAAGAAATAATATGAATTTATATATATTTTAGGATGATGACTTTGAAAGGACAAGTGGTTCCTTATCTGGTTCTGTTGCGCGTGTTTTGCGTTTAGCAAAGGCAGGCCATAATTATTACATCTTATATTTGTTCCTTTTTTCTGTAGCAGTATTTTTTGTGTTGTGGATAGTTTTGAAGTTCAAATGATTGTATATAAGATCTCTAGCTAAGGTGAAATGTATATAAACACGTAACTAGGCTAAAAGTAGATATTTTAAATCAGTTATTTAATTAGCTTAAGTCTTTTGCATCATTTCGTCGTACAGAAAACTTTACTCATTTTATAAAATAACTATATACGCATTATTTCGTTGTTCATATTAAAACAAAGTTGTTAAGAAAGATTTTAGCCAATAATAGCGAGAGGTGGCATATACGCTTGGAAGAAAGAAATAAATATTTTTTTATAAATACGTTGGTGCATTTAAGAAAGAAATTGAATTTATAAATAATAAAAGTAAAAAAAATGTATTTGTATTTTTTTATATCCTTTTTATTTTTCGTTGTAAATTCTAAATTTTTTTTTTGTCGATGATTAGTTTTTATCATGGAACTATATTACTAGATGATACGCCTCCTTTCTTTACACTGTAGTTTGATGTTGCCAACACTGCGTGCGTGTGTGTTCGTGGACTCGTAAACACGTGTTTTTAAATCTATAGGTTAGAAACGCACTAAACGCAGTGCACTCTCGAACGGTCGAACCTGGTCGAATCTCTTGAACGCTTACGATCTTAACAGAGAGCAACAGAGTTCTACAAGATGAAGATTAAAACATTGCGAAGAAATCTTCTGAGTCGACCCAAAGAGGAAAATGACGTGGCGGACGATCAACCGAGTACTTCGACAGATAAAACTTCGGAAGTTTTGCTGCCGTCTGACAGTAACTTCAATCACATCAAATGTAAGGCGGTGAGATACGAGAAATGTCAGCAATTGATGAAGGAACGAGCGAAGGCAAAGAAGCAGGCGAAGAAGGCGAGGATACAGGAGGGTGCTCCGAAACAGGTGCCTCATACTTTAGAGAGTCTGCGAGAGAAGGATGAGACTACGATAGTAGGTGATCTGGATGACGAGGCGAATGAGGAGCTCAAAGCTGAGTGTGAGCATGACGAATTCTCTGCCTATTATAAGCAGGAGTATGAGCCTAAAGTGCTCATTACGTACGCCGATAATCCAAACAGGAAAACGAGAATTTTTGGCAGAGAGCTCACGAGAATGATACCTAATTCTATTTCGCTGTATAGAAATCGTTCTGGCGTTAAGAAAATGGTCAAGAGTGCTATCGCCAGAAACTTCACTGACATAGTAATCGTTAATGAAGATCAATGCAAGCCAAGTATCCTTTTTTGTAAAATTAAAAATTTATACTGGATAAAATGTAACAGTTTTATTTGTAGTAATAACTAATATTATAAGTAACTAATATTTTATTTGCTGGCCAACATATTTTTTTAGCTAAATTAGCTGATAGGGAATTATTAGAAGTGCCAGAAATTTTTTAGGAAGCAACTCATTTAATGTCACTTAACAAACTTACATTTGCATTGTATAAGATACATTAAGCTAATTTAAGTTATTTTCATCTTGAAATAGTTTTCCTTAAATATAAATGTTAGATGGAATGTTGATCATTCATCTGCCTGATGGTCCTACTGCCCACTTCAAGCTCAGTAACGTCAAGTTGACAACGGACTTGAAGCGCAGCCATAAAGAGATCACAGAACACCGACCAGAAGTTATTCTCAATAACTTTACCACCCGCTTAGGTTTTACCATCGGCAGAATGCTGGGAGCATTGTTTCATTATCAGCCAGAATTTAAAGGAAGGAGAGCAGTGACATTTCACAATCAAAGAGATTACATATTTTTCAGGCATCATAGGTAATTGTGTAGCAATTTTAATTCTTACTATTCTTAGTGGATTCCAAATATTTTGGTGAAAGTTATATGACTGTACATAGGAGTATCTATTAAAATTAAAGAATTTATGAAGGTGTTGAAGTTATTGATTTATGTGTAGATTTTATTTTTTATATTTAATTTTATTAATCACAGACTTATGACATGACATTTTTAGAACTTATAACGAAGATTAACAATAATACAAACTATATATAATCTAAATCGAATATGAATTATTTTGCAGATATGAGTTTAATCTCAAGACTGGAAAACCGAGATTACGAGAATTAGGTCCACGATTCACTTTGAAATTAAGATCGCTGCAGCATGGAACATTCGACAGTAAATATGGTGATTACGAGTGGATTATACAAGGTCGCAGACACGATATGGAAACAAGCAGAAGAAAGTTCTTTTTGTGAATTCTATATATTGGAGTTTATTAGGAGGGAAATAATTTGTTGAAATAAAATTAATCTGATTACATACCAAACATGTAAATAAACTTTATTAATTTCCTCGTACAAAAATATGAATTTATATCACACTTATGAAAACAGAACATCTAATTGGTCAAAGACTTTTCAGTCGATCGAGATGAGTCTTTATCGTATTTATCTTTCGGATAACTATATTGCTTGGCCATCCGCGGTTTGAAACAATCGCGAGATATTTGAGTGCGGTTTAGAACATAAACTGCAGCTGGAAGGCCTCCTATGTTTACACCAATTATTTTAGTCACCCAGAATAAATCGCCAGCTGCCATCAAAGCCTAAAATAAATAACAGAATTTGTCTTCGAATCGCAGTAAAATATTTTACCTTAATTAATTATTTTTTTAATGAATATTTTAACTCTCGCACATAATTATAATAAAAACTTACGTCTTTAAAGTTATATCTGTCATATGTGAGTAGAACTATTCGTCCGTTTGATTTTACTGTTCGACCAAGTTCTAGCAAAAATTGCTTATAAAAAATCTTATTGTATGACTTATTTCCACTTCTTTTACCAAACGGCTGTAAATTGTCAAGGAAATAATTATTCCTTATAAAAAGGATATAAAAATATTTAAAAGTTGACTATAAAAATGGAACAAAGTTTTTTGAAAAATTAATTTCTATACCATATCAGTAACGATAATATCGACAAGAGAATCTTTGAATGGCAATTTAGAAGCGGTCCATTGTACGAGATCTATTTTATATCCAACTGTTGAAGCATCCATATTCGACTTTGTTCTATCCACAGCTCTAGAATCATTATCGCCGCATAAGACGTACGAGTGTGGATAAGCTAGTGTTGCCTGAAATTTGTGTATGAATAGAAATCTATCAAACTATTAATTTTATCATCGTAAATATGCAATACCTCTATAGGAATAGAACCTCCTCCACACATAGGATCTACTATTATATCTCCTGGCTTAGGATTTGCTAATTTTAGCAAATTGTAACATATAGTTGATCTAAGAGTAGTTGGCCCAAAATTTATTATGTTTCTGTTATGCATAGATTTGTGTGTTACGCGAAAATGCGTTGTTAGCTGATCTGAAACATTTTGAAATAATTAATATTTAACTTATCATTATTAATACACAGTTAATCGATTCTTGGAGATATCATAAAACTTAATATGCATTTCTTGTTAAAATTTTTTACCATTTATCAATTTGCAGACAACTTCTAGATGATACATGGATAAGTCCACTATCCAATGAAATTTATCCTGCAACACTTCTCCAATAACTGTAGCGACATCCTTAGATTCAACCGCATGTTTGCCATTTCTCTCACACGTTACTCTGTATTTAAGTACATCACTTTCGTCAGATTTTGAAGGATCTTGTCCCCTTTTTTTTCCTTTCTCTTCTTTCATCTCCGATACGTTCCAATCGAGGGGATCTTTTTCCTCTTTTTCTTTGTTACGCATCTCCAACAGCTTTGCTCTGGCTACAAGATCGTGCTCTTTAGCCACAACGTATTCTTCGATCGTTGGATAAAGTTTTCCTTTGAAATTTGTTATGCATTTCCATGCTTCGAGAGTCTTCTTCCATCTATTAGCTGAGTTTGAGAACATGTCTAAATTTCTTATATACCGTAAGTCTGCTTCTTTGTCATTGGTAAGTGATAAGCTTCCATCATCAGCTACTATGAATACATGGTCTATCGATCTCATTTGTTGAACCTACAATATTTATGGCACAATGTAACATAAACATGGTGATTTTTGCGACCATATTAAAAAAAAATAATCTGAATTGCGTGGAAGAGTACTTTTGGAAACTGGTCCCGATCAATATTAAAATAAAATCTTCCCCGTTGTTTGACCACCCGAACATCTTTGTTGAATATCTCCCTGCATTCGTCGATCGCTTCCCATTCGAAACCTGCGTCATCGTTGTTGTAGGTTATGTTTGAGAAACACGTGGATTTCTCTTTATTTTACGGACTTAACAAATAATTTCGTACCTGTATCCACAGTGACTCCGAGTGTAAAAATATTGTCGTTATCAACTGACTCTGAAAAGAGTTCGCTCACAGATTCGCAGACACTCATCGCTGAAATTCTCTAGTTAGCCCTCGAGAAAAATACGTACCTACCGTACATCTACCTGAGAGCTGAGACTGCCTGAAACAATTGAAACTGGCTGAGTCGCACACATGATAAACGTTGCGCATGACTTGATTTTAAAATATTTATACGTGTTAAAATTTACGTGTTTATCGAAGAGAGTTGTTAGAAAAGTTAAGGAAAAATTGAAACTTTAATTAATTTGATCTTTTGATCCTGTATTTATGTTTTCATATTTGTAGACGGAATGATTTTTATAATCATAAAAAATTAGCTTTATTGATATTCTAAAGTATCGATCAAAATTTTATATATTTTAATAAATGTTTTTTTTTAATTACTTATTTATGTTACTAATATAAGATAATATTCGAACGAATAATATATATTTTTGGATATAATAGAATTTTATGAATTCTATCAAGCTTAATTTCAATTTTTATTCGAATTTTGTTCCTATTTTCTATTAATTCCTAATTTCTTGTGCGAAATTATGAGGAATAATCAAATTAAATTAAAATTATTAGAGTCGATAGAAATAGCAGCGCTAAGGTGAACGACACAAAATGCCTTTTTGCAATAAACAGGTATCATAATGATGGGTCATCCACCTAGAGACAGACACGTCTCTTTTAATGACAGTTATATCAATAAGTATTTTTGGTACATACGTGCAGTTGCATAAACTTGCACGTTGCGGCGAACATTATAAATGGACCTGCATCGGATATGCAGACGACGTTATACCTTTTCGCGCTGTCAACTAACGTGACCGCGTCCGGCAGGGCCGAGAGCGCTTTCCCGTGTTTTAATCTATTTCATTAATTAACGAAATTTACTCCGACACTCGCGACCGGGACGTATTCCGCCTCTGCGACGACAGACAATAAAATCGATGCTATTTTATAATGCCGATAGAAGATGTACCGTCGCATGCCACTAATTGTTAAGCGCAAATCGAACGCGCTATTGTTAGCCCGCGCAAGCATAATTTTGCGATTAATTAAAAATTTATCTGACGCAGAACGTTGGCCAAAACTGAAATATATACGGATAACATTCAGCAAATCTTTTTTTTATCTTCTTTTACGCTTTAGTTCACCTGTCGAGTTGCAAAAATATTTGAATTATTTGAATCACTCACGTTAATTTATCTCTTTCTCTCTCTTGGATAATATATTTTTATTATCATCCCGCCAATTAATAGACTAATATGGATATACAAGCAATGATGAAATACTTCATGATACGAATTAAATTTGTTATTTTTATCGCCGAGAGAGATACATAATATTCGAAATTTGAGAAGCAGCAATTTTTAATAATAATTCCACGTAAATTAGCGTAAATTAGTGTTATGTAAAATAATTTTTTATGGAATGCTAGTGACGCGCATCCTCCATTTATCGCGCTGTTGTTATTTAGAGGCGGATAACTATATTCGGAGCGGATTCTTTTTTTCCCGATCGACAAACGTTCGCGATCTTTATGTAGCTCGGCTCATTCAAGGTTCAGGCTTGCAGCGCGAGCGGTTCAATAACCCTTTACCGTGGCGCATGAATATTCAGCGAAAGCGCATTGGGCGTCCATCGTAAGTGCCAATTTCAACTTTGTGAGCGCATCATCTCTATGACTGAAATCCAGTTCCTCCGCCTCGCGAGAGTCGCGAGACCGGACCAGACCCCGGTCACCCCGGACCGGACCGGACGGCTGGACGTTCGCGACGTGAAGGCTCATATTTCAGTCGGTCATCGTAAGGCACCAAATGTCAAACGCACAGACAGACAGACCGCGAAGGGAGATACGCGAGGCGTCGTGCAGCCGGCTATAAATCAGCTCCGCCAATTCTCGGTTTCCCGATTTTTCCTCTCACGTTTCCTCGTGTATCTCCAAACAGTCCAAACAATACAAACGATAGAAATAACGATACAAGACTTGCCTTATTTCAGCAGAATACAGCACGGAAGATTTTATCTTTCTACGCGCAGTCTTTCTATGCGCTTTTAATACATAATGTCACGATTACGTTAAGTCCCAAAGTAGTTATCGTGCTAATTTAATATTATTAATTGTAAGACAGGCGATTCTGTAATGAACGTGACGGATTCAACGTCGAGTCATCTCACATTACGTCGTACGAGTGATTCGCGGAGTACCGAATGTTATCTATCTTGCATGCTAATTTGCATTAGCCCGACGTATATCATCTTGGACAAATATATCTAATATAGTTATGCACCCTTAAGTAAGAATAATCGACGAACCTAAGGTCGTTCCACGTGTGAATCTTCAGCGGATTTGAATAATAGAACGTCATTCGATCAATAAGAAATTAATATTCAGCGAAGCGTAGTAGTAGACCTCATGAATATAACACGAGGCACTTATTTTAAAAATCGCTTTCGAAACCGTATGAATTTCAATGAAAACTCGATAAAATTTTTGATATTGAAACTTCATAGAGAGAGAACGTAGTTTAATGACACAATACAAATAATTTTCTATTTTTAATTAATTGAATTATGTATTATATATTAAAGTAACAAGTTAACAATGCGCACTACGTAAGTTTATTAATTGTCACAATCATTAATTGATACGCGATAAATACCTGCACTAATATTTTAACGGCAATAACAATCGATAACTACTATCGAAATAAATAAGAAATCGGCGCATCTCTTTGTCTTCTTCGTCCCTTTACGTCCTCAACATCTTCGAAGCAGATAGTGGGCGCGCGAACTGGGACACGTGGAAATAAATACGTAATTCCCTGATATTCATAGACGATCGATCGGTATCCTGAAATTAGACTCATCATCGCCAATGGCGAATGGTGGCGAAAGAGAAAAAGAGAAAGAGAGAGCAAGAAACGGTGAAAATCTATCGCAGCGACGGATTCTGCATCTTCTTCGACTCTCCCGGGTCACGTCGGGTCGAAAGTTCGCCAGGGCACGGCCCCCCTATACATAGAAGCAACCAAGCTGCTCCTCCTGCTGCCGCCGCTGCCGATGCTGCTGATGCTGCTGATGCTGCTGATGCTGATGCTGATGCTGCTGCTGCTGTTGTTGCTGCTGCTTCTACTGCTGCTGGCTGCTGCCGCTGCTCCTCTTTCTCTTTCGCTCTTTCTCTCCGCGCCGCGTGGCATCCCGTGGGCTGACAGGTGAAGTCGGGCACCTGAAATATTCATCGGACGCTGGGTTGAACGAGGCGCGACCGAATGTCAATCTGTCAACCTGCTTCCAGCTTGCTATGTATCCGCGAATCCTGCATTCTCGTGTGTGTGCATTCGGGTACGAGGCGCGCGTGTATACTCGATTATTCGCGACACACACACATACACGTATACCGACACACAGATGCGTCTCCTCCCGTTTTGGTTATATTGGCAATTATATGAAAAGATGAGATCGATTCAGCGACGAATGCAGATTTCACATTCGCGAACGTGCCTGACGGCCGCGAGTCGCGATATGCATATCGTTTTTACGCTTTATCTGCCTCGTCGTTATCTGAGAGATGACAATCGTAGTGTCAACGAACTTTCTTATACTTATTGCACCGCTAATATTTAATTAAGTATTTATAGCAAATATGCAATCTAGTATGTTTATTGTATATATTTTTGCCATTGCATGCTCTTTAAGAAATTTGCTGGACATAAAAATTTTCAAGTTGCAATTTTTAATTGCATTTTTATCGGAGATTTCTTTTAACTGAAAATTTAAACATTTGCTTTAAATAAAAAATAATTTAAAAAAAGATATGATTTAATCTGTCTACCAAATCCTGGCAGCAAAATAAATATAGAAAATTGTTATAATAAAAATTGGACAGTAGACGTGCATAATAAGCACATCTCTACTTAATGAAATTATTTATATCTCGTCTCTCAAATGTCATCGTAATCTTGATAGTTATTTTATTATTTAACCTTTTATATGATATATAATGACACTTTCAATTGTTATTATGGCAATTTTGTTCAATAATATATTTATATAAAAGATAAAGCTCTTCAGATACATGATCGATATCCCACCTTCAATCTCCATAAGCTATACGATCGCAAATGCATTATGCACACTTACGCACATGTTAATGCATGTAATGTATATAGATCTCTCATTCGTCGGTTTCCCGCGTTTTCAGTCGTACAGCGGAAGATAGGGGGTAAAAGACCGGTGAATTAAGCCGACACTTTGAGGGGCTTTTAAAATTTAAATAATGCATTGTTACCGGACCCGTCGTTCGCCTCTTCCCGCCGCCAGTTATCCCATCTCGAACGATGCTCGGACTGCGTTCCTGGCTGTCGACCCTCGTTTCGCCGACTTTTTGGCACTTCTCGGTAAAGCACTGTCGGTACCGACATCGACGTGCATCAGAAATTGTGTAATTTTCACAGAGAAAATGCGAAACAAGCGGAAGAAACTTTGCAGCCAACCAATCTGACATAAGCTGATGCATCCTTCGGAATTAATTTTTCGTGATCTCCGACATCAAGACAAATTGGATACAATAATTTGTGGTAGTATTATCTTGAATGTATTTTCTGTTTTACAAATTGTATAAAAGTTTATGTACGTGAAAGAGAAGTTAAGAATTATTTGATAAATCGCGTATTATATATGTTAATATATTCATAAATGTTATAATAACAATTTTATATCTATTAATGTAAAAATTCTGTGATTATTGTTAATAGACAAAATAAACTAATTGAAATAAAAATAAAATCTCATAGCAGAGATATTTCGGTAATGTATGTTATGCATGTTCGAGATTCGATTTTAGGAGATATTTATTGAAGGACTTTTTTAAATAGCAAATGGAAAATTTATCGGTATGGATAAATGTAATCATAAGCGATAAAACATGGATTTACCAAATAAAATCTCGCATTTATTTTTTGAAAGCAAGTTTAATAATACATATATATATACACATCTGGCTAAATTTGCATATTTAAATACAATAATAGATATTTAAAAAAATTATAATAGAGAAAAACATAATTAAAAATAATGCTATCTTAGTACTACATTAATAA